GACGACAGAGATGAGATGGTTGGACAGTGTCATCGAAGCAACCAACATGAATTTGACCCAACTCCAGTGAAAGATAGGAGGGCCTGCCGTGCTCTGATCCATGGGGTCACGAAGAGTCGGACACGACTAAATGACTAAATAACGACGTCTCACGACAAGTTACAAAACAGGACGTCTGCTCGGAACCCTGGGAGAAGGAAACAGACACTTGGGTTTAAACTATCCCATATTAGAAAAGGTCTTCAAGCAGAAGTGGAGAAATATCTCTTGTGACCGTCTATCAATGGAACGCCTGGTTAAGAAAGACAACATCGTCTATGATGTTATTAGATTAGGCATCCTTACAGACTCCAAGGAATATCATTCCATCCTCTGGAACATGGAACAGCCAGCATTCTAGGCCCTGTAGACATGTCAAAGCCAGAGGAATGGTAACATTCTGAGGAAATCTGGGCACGTGGTCCCTTCTAGATACTCAATCCCGGAAATGAGTGCTTAGCCCTACCAAAAATAAAATCAAAAGCTTGCATGCTCAAATCTAGATTTTCGGAGGAAGATCACTGACTCCTAGCATTCCCTTTCCTTGCCTACCACTCAGTGGTACCCATTCAAGTACAGTGGTACCTCGCTAGACAGTTACCCCGCATGACAGTTTTTTCACTAGACATTGCGATTGCTATAGCGATTCGCAAAAGAGTGATTCCTATGGGGGAATTTCGCTGGACAATGTTTGGTCCCTGCTTCGCAAACCGATTTTCGCTAGACAACAATTTTGAGAGCTCCCTCCGCACTCACAAAACGGGCGTTTTCGGGACCTAAGCTTCGCAAGACAGCTATTTAAACAGCTGATCGGCAGTTCGCGAAGCGGCTTTCCTATGGCCGACAACGACGATTCTTCCCCATTGGAATGCATTAAACAGGGTTCAATGCATTCTAATGGGGAAATGCTTTTCGCTAGACAATGATTTTGCTAAACAGCGATTTCAGTGGTACGGATTATCATCGTCTAACGAGGCACCACTGTAGAGGAATGGTATGGAAAGGACTTGAAAATGTTGAGATGCTCAAATCTAGGATGCAGGGGGAAAAATTGCTTGATTGTTACATTGTATTAAGCAGCAATTGTTTGCATTGATTATATGTACATTTTTTTGTGAATTGTGGTGGTAAAATGCATTATTTGAACAAGGTTCAGCAGCAAAGTTTTGGTTTTACACAGGTCTTTTTCCAATAAATAAATACATCACTATTTCAATAAATATAAACATTCAATAAATATTGTGCTAATTATCTCCAGGAAGTGGGTTATCAGTCTCAGGCTTAAATCGGGCCCTGTTATTCACAGATTCTGAATTACAGTTGATTTTGCTCCTTTCAGGACTGCCTCTTTGCCTCGGCCTGCTGGACCCCCCCGCATCGTGGCAGTTCCAAGAGGTGGCCGGAGAAGGTTTGGGGACATGCTGAGAGGTTGACACAGATTGGGGGAGCACTGCTTATGCATTGTAATTACATTTTTGGGGGCGTAAGAGTTATTCACAGATTCTGAATTACAGTTGATTTTGCTCCTTTCAGGACTGCCTCTTTGCCTCGGCCTGCTGGACAAGGGTCTCTTCAAATTGGGAGAAGCCAATAATGCCTCCAGGCTGAACGCTCAGATGTTAGGGTTTCCCATCTGTTGAGGTCCATTTCCAAGGCCTTTAGATCCCGCTTGCAGATCTCCTTGTATCACATTTTGGGGGGGCATAAGAGTTATACACAGATTCTGAATTACAGTTGATCCAGTGCCCTTCACCTCAGCGTTGTGGAAGGGAGACGTGTATTTCTGTCTCTTAGTGTCCTGTTGTCTGCATTGGGATGAGGCGACTAGCTAAACATTTATAGAAACCCATAACGACTCCAGATGGGCTTTCTTTCTCATTTTCTCACACAAATATGATAAAAATGCAGTTTTTCCTGTAAGGGTTCTTCTTCTTTCCACTTCCTGAGATAGCCTAGTGTCCCTTTCGCAGGCAAGAGAGGAAGGTGTTAAAAGTATTTTTAAATTGAGTTTACAGAGACATCTCCACAGCTTTTCCCCAGGAAGTGCTAACTGCCACCGCCTTCCCAGATTGGGGCTGAAAGAGGTGGGAGACCAAGGCACAAGGGCGGTGTTTTTCCACAGTGACGGGCACTTAAAAGGAAATGGCTTTCCCGTTACTTACCAAAAGCTAAGCTTCAGAAATAATTTGCAGCCAGGGTGCGAAGATCGACAGGAAGAGGGAAGGTAGACTTGTTGTGGTGAACTTGGCTTGATGGGAATCGATCTCCTGATAGCTGCTGGGATTTCCATTCGAGGTGTACCTTCAAAACTGGTCCCACTGGTCTGGCACTTGCAGTTATGTTTGGGAACAAGCCTTGCTTGGAACTCCCAAAAGCTGCTTCCAGGAACACATAGATTAGATTAGGCATCCTTCAGTCTCGAGAGACTATGGTAATGTGCTCTGAATGGAGGACTTGGAACAGCGTCTAGTGTGGCTGAGAAGGCTGAGAGTGACCATCCCTTCCACACTGAAGGCAAATACAGTCTGTCCCCTGTCCAGCTCCCTGGTTTTGCTGGCTTTGGGACTGTGTCTTTGCTTCAGCCTGCTGAACAAGTGTCTCTTCAAATTGGGAGAGGCCTCCTGCCTCCAGGTTGAACGCTCAGATGTCAAAATTTCCCATCTGTTGCGGTCCATTCCTAAGGCCTTCAGATCCCGCTTACAGATCTCTTTGTATCGCAGCTGTGGTCTCCCTCTGGGGCAATTTCCCTCCACTCATTATCCATATAGGAGATCTTTTGGAATCCACCCATCAGTCATTCTCACGACATGTCCGAGCCAATGTAGACGTCGCTGTTTCAGTAATGTATACCTGCTAAAAATTCCAGCTCGTTCTAGGACTACTCTGTTTGGAACTTTGTCCTGCCAGGTGATACCAAAAAATGTGTTGGAGACAACGCACATGGAACGTGTTCAACTTCCTCTCCTGCCGTGCTCAAAGGGTCCAGGACTCACTGAAGTGCAGGAGTGTGCTCAGGACACAGGCTATATGGACCTGGATCTTGGTATCCAAGCAGTACGGAATAATACAGCCAAATTCAGTGTGTGTTAGGGATGTGAAACTCTCTCAACCTCAGTTCCATTGTGGTCCTTCAAATCGTGCTTATATTTCCTTCCTCTTCTTGGCCAGAATCTGTGGCTGTAAAAGCAGTCATGCAAGCAATGAGAGATGTTTTCTGGGCTGTCTGTCATATCCCCCACCGTGGTTTGGTAGCGCAGTCAGTACCTACTGGTTATATGAAGGGCAGCCCAGCGAATGTAACAACTGCTGGCCATTGGACGTCTTAACTTCTTTTTCATCACATAGTCCTCCCGTTATTTTCTCCTCAAGTGTCTCTTGCTGCAAGTAGCGGTTGACAGGGCAATGAAGTCACGCCAGTCGTCACACGCTCAGCTTATGTGGTGTTGGTGGCGGTGCTGAGAGGGGAAGAGAGACAGAATGATTCATGACTGTGTTGGATGCGGTTCGTTTCCCCTACTGTCTTGCCGTTTGTGCAGCCGATGTAGGAGTTTCAAATTCAACCTTTTCCTCATGGCTTAGACCTATGTGTATTTATTCTGGGCCCAATTTGAAGTGCTGGTCAGTACCTATTAAAGCTCTGACCAAAGGAGACTGTGTTGGAAAAGCAAGTGTGAGCAGTGGTTTAAGTACCCGCCTGCGGAGCCAGACATTGAGAGTTTGATTCCCCACTGTGCCTCCTTGGCAGGGGCTGGACTCCATAGCCCATAGGGTCCCTTCCAGCTCTGTGGTTCTAAAATGATGATGATGAATATGCCTAGAACAAGGTTCAATGGCTGTTTAGGCTCCTTAATGTTGGCTTGGGGCTGAAAATTGTGCAGGTCAGTTTCTAGTCCCACCTCAACCCTGGGGAGATGGGGTCTGTGGCTTCTGGTCTACAAGTAGTGCAATCTACAACATACAACACTGTTTTCAGTTACGGCCAAAAATATATGTGGTATTTTTCATCCATAGCTGTAAATTACCATAGAATCATAGAATTGTCATAGGGTTGGAAGGGACCTTGGAGGTCTTCTTGTCCAACCCCCTGCCCAAGGTAGAAGACTTCATACCATCCCGGGCCTTGTACTGTCCCAAACAGATGGTGAACTATTCCACTGCTTAATGATTCTCACTGACAGGAAATTCCTCTTTATTTCCAGGTTTGACGAGCTTACACCCATTGGTTCTTGTCCTACCCTCAGGCGGAATGGAGAATAAATTGATGCCCATATAGAACTTCAAGTTATAAAGAACTTCAAGTGGCTTGAAAGTAATAAAGCTGTTGTATATAGCTCTTATTATAGGGATAAAGCAAGCAAATCCATGATGGCAAATCTGTTCAAGCATAACCATATGGATGCCTGATTAAGGCCATTTCATTAGATGCCTTCAACCCTGATCCTAGCACAGAAATATATCCAGAAGGCAAGCAGACTATGGACAGTTCTTCTAGAACTTGTCTTTCACCTAGGGTTTAAAGACCGGCAGTAGATACAGGGCTTCCCCATCATATATAAATAGACTCCAGGATTGACTGGGTCTTCTGTGTACAACACAATGCTAAAAAAGCCGTTGAGCTGAGTCATTTATAGCATTGAGGAATTCCCATCAAGTTGTCTCTTGAAGATCAAAATAGTTCATCTATGGTTATTTCTATCCAAATACGTTTTTTTTGAGATTAGTGATTCAATTTCCTTCCTTTTCAGAAGAACACTCATTTATTTGTTTTATTTATAGGCCGCCTTTCTCCAAATAATGGGACTTATTTTTACTTGTGTGCGAAATGATGTGTATTTGCTTACCTGTTTTCACGTGGGAAGGAAAAAAAACCACAGTAATATAACTTGATCCCTGTCTATGCCACTATGAAATGCTGCAACTAACTTGGGTTTTCTGCTCTTTTCCTCTATCACCATTTTTAGGACTTGGTGAAAGAACGTACGTCTAGGGATACCACAAAGCTCTTGAAAGCCCAGTTCAGCCATGGATCTGGAGAAGCCCACTGTCTGGGGATCATTCAAACTGAGAACAAAGCCTTTGTTCCACAACCTGAGCATCAGAAGGACTAAGAAAAGCTCAACCAAATTGGTACAGTCAAGAAAACGGTTTCCTTTAGAACGTCGCCTTAGTTCCTCGGTGCCTGACATGTTGAATGTGGAGGCTGTTGTTGAGGAAGAAACAAGATACTCATGTTCCAAAGCATTGTCCACTTACTTTCCAAATGACTTTGATGCAACCGAGATGTTTCTTCCTTGCGATGCTTCCTTGAAACGCGATGCGGAGGAATGCCGATGGAGTCAGCAGGAGACTGTGCGCTTGGAATTTGGGGTTAGCAGAATGGATCTGTCTGTCCCAAGATCAGAAGTGAGGCGGAAGTCCAGTGGAGATTACTTTGAATCGCTACAGAGGAACAGTTTCAGCAGTGATCTTACAGAGGATACACTTGAGGTAACGTTCATTGGGTCAGCCAGACCTAAGTCTGGACTCGTCTACATGGGTTCATTTGGAGTATGCTGGTTTGGACTAACCAGTGTTGCTTACGGTTGGGTAGAGAGCCACTTAGCTTCTTGATGGAGACCTGGCTATGCTGGTGGTCATTTGACAGCAGTCTCAAAGTGGGGCTTCTCTATCATGTGCAATATCCTTATTTTCCCCAGATCTCATCTATGGTGTGTGCAATCTGAGAAGGCAATCTGCCAGGTTATCCAGTCCTGTCTATTCACAACTGTATACACAAACAAGCAATGGATTTGGCATGGTAGCTAGTTCTGCACACACCCCATTTCCTGAGAAGTTGGAATGGAATTTAATATTTGTTTGTGTTCCTTGATTTTGTAGTGTAAACCACTTCAAAATACTATTTTCGGATATGTGGAGCTGCTTGTAAATGCACAGAACTGATGAAATCATACCACTTGTGTTCTAAAATCCAGATTTCCAACCAGGATTAAACCAAGACCAAGCCATCCATGGTTTGAGGTCTTGGAATGGTCCAGGAATAGAGACTGTTTAATGGTACAGTCTAACCTATTTTTTCAGGGGGGTCTTCTCCCCTCATTCTATTCAGTTCTTAATTTCCTTGGTTTGATAAGCTCTTTGGGCAAGGAAACACAATTTTTAATGTTTTAATTAGTCAACAAACTTTGATCAGGCTGCCATAGCCCTTGTGATGCTACATAGACCAAAATTACATTTTTCATGTCTCTTCATATTTGAAACTGCCCAACCAAGTTACATTGAGTGCCAACAGTGCTATTGTAAGTATTGTTTCTGCCTTGTTAGACTCCCAACGGAGGGAAAGTAGGAAGGGTTAGCTAGTTATGCCCACGCAATAACATCTTTCTCTTGCTGCTCTCCACACGTGGTTGAATGAATGCAGAATGGGCTAGGCCTGTACCTCATATATCGCCAAGATAGCATCAGAATGGGGCTTTGCTTTCTAAATGAGGGTACATCTCTGAATTGAAAAGGGAGTTAATAACCTTTTAATGCTTTTTGAGTCTCAGGAGAATCAGCTCAAAGTCAAGCTCATCTTACAAAACGTAGCCTTGGGGATTTGAGAAGAAAGACTACAAGATTGTTTGTGTAAAAAGTTTGTGTGTGTGTTTGTGTGTTGGGTCACTTCTACATTAAGAAGTTTTAATTTGAATAGCCTTTTGTGGTCTTCATTCCACTTCATCACATCTCAGTTTCTTTATCAACCTTAGATGGACCTTAGTAGAAGGCAACTTTCTCTGTCCCACAATTGTGCAACTAGGGGTATTGTTAGTACGGAACACCACATGGGTTCTAAATGAGTGTGTCTCCTTGCCGTGCAACTTGACTTTCTGTTTTGCATCGTATCTCAACTTGGCCAAGGATAAGCCATTACTTCTCTGTTCAATTTTCTTCTGGTTTTGTACGTGGGTAATAATGGCTCGCTGATCTTGAACAATAGCAGTACCGCGCTATATCAATGCAGCATCTGTGACATAAAGGCCGCTTTGTTCTTGACAGCGTTCTTCTGGAGGACTCAATCTGGACTCCTCATGTGCTTCTCAGATATTTGACGACCCTGTAAGTGATTTTCTTTCTTAAATCCCAAAATACTATGACTAAGGGGGAATTTGGGTTGCAAATTTTAGTCAAAGCTCCTGTTGCTTAGCATAGTAAATTGCCCTAGAGTAAGCCTATTGAATCAATGCGGATTTAGTGACTAATCTCTCATGTATGTTCCATTGATTCAAATGAGCCTGCTCTATTTATGCCTTATTGTAGCATAGTAAATCACAACTAGAATTCACTCCTTTGAATCAATGGGACTTATGGATCAATGGAATCAATGTAACTAAATACTTATTGATTCAATGGACCTCTTCTGATGCAATTTACTATGCTAAGGAACGGGAATTTGGCCATTACATAAGATTACACAATCACAAGATCTAAAGCAAAGGCCATGCCATTTTTTCCCCTTACCCTGTTCTAGAGCTTCCTAAACTGTCTGGATGGCTACTATTAAAAACAGAATGGTCCATTCCATTAGGGACTTTTTAATGTGACCAGCAGTCAAGGACTGGCCCAAGACAGGTTACTGCATGAGGTAGAGAACAGAAAGGTACTACTCCATCCTCACATGTACAGATAATAAAAACTGAGCCTAACTTTATCATGGGTGGTCAGAGAGCAATTGCATTGCACGTGAGAGCAAAAGAGGATGCTTGAGGGGCTGTTTTAACTTTTCTAATGGCAGGACTGGTTCCCTGTAGCAGTCATTGGCCTGCCTTCAATTGCATCTGTTGTCTTTAATGGAGGAGGATCAGCGCATATCTGTACAAATTGCACAAAGTGACTTTGTTGCTCAGTGGCATCCAAAGGGTCATCTGTTTTCTGAGAGGCTGTCCTGCTTTGGGCACATCATCAGAAGGCAGAATAATGTTGTGGAAGGCAGCAGGAAAAGAGGAAGGGCAAATATGAGATGGACTGACTCCCTCAATGAAGCCACAGGCTTTAGTTTGCAAGAACTGAGCAGGGGCTGTTGGAGGACAGGACATGCTGGAGATCGCTCCGTTCATAGAGACACCCTAAGTCAGAGGTGACTTGACAACATATAACAACAACGTTTTCTTTTTCATATTCAGCCAGTCATGCTATGCTTTCTCTCTCTGCTTCAGAAAGGACACTGAATTTTGTTCCAGGAAAATTTCCCTGAATTATGGAGACATAATTGGGAAAATATAGCCCTCTTGGACTGAGATCCTGCTGCGCATTTTTGCAAATGGCATAACTTACAAACAAATTGCTAAAAGAAGAAATCTTCGTAGATCTTCTCTGTTGTACGCCAAATTGCACAGCACAGTATGCAGCAAATAATATCTATGGAGATTTCTTAACTTATTGTACTTCCACAAGCTTTGTGTGGAACTGCACAACAGTGTTGTCAGCCTTGGTCTGCTAGAAGGAGGTGGTTAGTGTGCAGTTCTGTCTTTCCTGTAATATTTTCATAGAACTAAGACTGTACACCAGGTTTGGATAAATCCCAACAGAATCAGCCTGATTTGAATTGATTTTTATGCCTAAATCAAACTGGATTCAATTCCGAGGTGAAGTATACTTAAAGATTTATTCAGATCCCAAGAGAGCACAAATTGCTTCAGGTGACCAATATTTCTCCAAAAGCAAACTTTGTTTTCCTCTTTAGCAGCTGCTGTGTCTCCAGATTTCACATACTGCAGTGCAAAACTCAAACTGCTCCAGTCGTTGGTCCGCTAGAAGGAGGTGGTTAGTGCTCAGTTCTGTCTTTCCTGTAGTATTTTCATAGAACTAAGACTGTATACCAGGTTTGGATAAATCCCAAATTCCAAACAGAATCAGCCTGATTTGAATTGATTTTTATGCCTAAATCAAACTGGATTCAATTCCGAGGTGAAGTATACTTAAAGATTTATTCAGATCCCAAGAGAGCACAAATTGCTTCAGGTGACCAATATTTCTCCAAAAGCAAACTTTGTTTTCCTCTTTAGTAGCTGCTGTATCTCCAGGTTTCACATACTGCAGTGCAAAACGGAAACTGCTCCAGTCGCTTTTGGTTTTCTAATGCAAGTTAAGGCACCAACTCTGGAGATTTCTAAACCGAATCAGGTGCTGGGCACAAAGCAAATTGCACTGGGGGCACAAGTCACTTTGGACCAGACTCAGAGATGTTTCAACACCCCTCAAATCGGCTTCCAAATTGAATTCAGAGATCTTGAAGCAGGGAGTTGATAGGCCCCTTCCGACTCCATTATTCTGTGATTTTATGATCTGATCCAGAGTTTCCCTTTTTGAATTTTCCCCACAGACGCCGCCTGAAGAAGAAAGTGATTGCTTGAGTAAATCGCGCAGCTCATTTGCGTATCTGCTCACCATACATCTGAAAGAAGGCAGGAACCTGGTCATCAGAGATCGCTGTGGTGAGTTGACTTGCGGTGTATCATGTTGGTAAACAAGGCGTGGGAAATCGGAGAGGTGTATTCTGTTGAGCTGTGGTGGTCAGACAGTAAAGCTGGGCTCCTGGTAAATATATGGATAATAATGGCAGGGAATATCCTCTGCCCAGGAGGTCTTAAAAATGTCTGACCCCCAAATGTCTTATATCAGTTATAGCAGAGGGGCTTCTGCCACCTTGTGGCCTGAACTGTACCATTAAAATAGTATGTGGTGAATGGCCGTAGCGAAGGATTCGTGTGTGAAAAGATTCTCTGCTCCGTGAATTCTTGCCCTTCATAGAATGATTCGGCATCGGAATGCCTTCATTCAAAGTGTATGCTTTGAAAGGAAGGAAGGAAGGAAGGAAATCAAAGTAGGTCCTGCAAATTTCAAGGGTACTCAAAAACCTGCACTAGACTAGAAGTGGCCAATTTCTAATAATCCAGGAACCACACACATCTTTATAGTTTGGAGGCTTGAACCCTAACCCCCTCCCAAAAAAGGTGTGCTACCTTTTCTCGCCTTTTCTATTGAAAAACTAATTTGTGCATTCTTTTAGCCAATTAAAAAAAATGATTGAGGGGGTGTGGCAGAGATGTCGAGGGCTCCTCAAATCATGGTGAAATTAGATGCCCCCTTGAAGAGCACATGTGAGAACTGTGGAGTCCGCGTTTTCTGAATGAAATGAAATGTCTGAGGAAGCTCAGCGGTTTATGTCTCTGGCTTCAGAGCCAGACATTGGGAGTTTGATTCCCCACTGGGCCTTCTTGACAAGAACTGGGCTCAACATAGGGTCCCTTTCAGCTCTGCAGTTCCAAGATTTGATACTGGGAGACCACATGAATTGTTCCTTTATCCTAGAGCCTTGATGGTAGGAAGGGAACTTAATCTCATCTTCAAGTAGATCTGTTGACTGCTAAATGGAATTGAAGTATTGTTGTTGTTTAGTTGTTAAGTCATGTCCGACTCTTCGTGACCCCATGGACCAGAGCACGCCAGGCCCTCCTGTCTTCCACGGCCTCCCGGAGTTGGGTCAAATTCATGTTGGTTGCTTCGATGACACTGTCCAACCATCTCCTCCTCTGTCGTCCTCTTCTCCTCTTGCCTTCACACTTTCCCAACATCAGGGTCTTTTTCAGGGAGTCTTCTCTTCTCATGAGATGGCCAAAGGATTGAAGCTTCAGGATCTGTCCTTCCAGTGAGTACTCAGGGTTGATTCCCTTTAGAATTGATAGGTTTGTTCTCCTTGCAGTCCAGGGGACTCTCAAGGGTCTCCTCCAGCACCACAATTCAAATGCATCAATTCTTCAGCGGTCAGCCTTCTTTATGGTGCAGCTCTCACTTCCATACATCGCTACTGGAAAAAACGTAGCTTTGACTATGCAGACCTTTGTTGGCAAGGAGATGTCTCTGCTTTTTAAGATGCTGTCAAGGTTTGTCATCGCTTTCCTCCCAAGAAGCAGGCATCTTTTAATTTCGTGGCTGCTGTCTCTGTCTGCAGTGATCATGGAGCCCAAGAAAGTAAAATCTCATGGCTAATTTAGGTGGCATTCATTTCAACGGAGCCCACTCTCATTAAGATTTAGTTCTGAACCCACTCCACTTTTTCTAATTCCAAGAGCTGGGTCTATGAACTTAACCATGAGCCTGGAGGCCATAACCTACCTCCGTGGCATAATTTCTTGTAAAGGTTATACAGATGTGTTCAGATGTATAGACAAGAGTTGCACCTCAAAACAATTCCTTCTTTATATGACAGCTCCTGGAGTCTCTCAGGCAGCTTGCTTGGCCACTTGCCCTATTGGTGGTTGGTAGTAGTCCAGAAAAGAATGGCCCCCTCCCCCAAGCCTCCTTCAAAAGTGCTAAACGACTGGTTCCCAACCTTGGGTCACCTGGGTGTTCTCGGACTACAGTTCCCAGAGGCCTTCACCACCAGCTTTTCTGCCCGGGGTTTCTGGGAATTGTAGTCCAAGAACATCAGGATGACCCAAGTTTGGGAACCACTGCTCTCAAACTTTATTGAGCTTTCGCAAGTCGATCGGTTCCCTGTTTCGGGAACCGATTTTTCACTTTACGATGATCAGCAAACAGCTGATCGTCGGGTTTCAAAATGGCCCCCCGCTGTTTTCTAGGACAGATTCCTCGCTATACAGGCACCAAAAAAGGTCGCCATATGGAGGATCTTCGCTGGACGAGCAGGTATTCAGCCCATTGGAATGCATCAACCAAGTTTTAATGCATTTCAATGGGTTTTTTGTTCCATTAGAAGATGTTTTCGCTCTACAGCTGTAGCATCGTCAAGTGAGGCACCACTGTACGTCACACCAAAGATTCAATTCAGGTTTGTTTGTTTTTTCCCCAATGACTTGAACTTGACTTGTGACTCTGAACCCACCTACCCTGCC